TTCAAGGAAGAAAGAGACATCATCAGTCAGGCTTTAATCCCGCGATGATGGGGTTTGAGTTGACTGACCAACAGGAGGTGCTGCATAACGAACAGCAAAGAAATCCGTTATGTTAGAGGTAGAATTGAATGTCCCTTGGTAAATCGCATATCCAAGGTCGACAACCTGAGGAGAATCTGCCCGTAGGACAGATTCCAGGCCGAAGGCAGCCCAGGCTGCAGACAGTAGCACAACAAAGCGCATTCTTGCGGGAGCACAGCGGACCAAATATCACTGGGTGCGATGCAAAACGCCTCGAATACCAGCTATTTGTAGCAAATCCGGTCGATGTAGATCGGGAAAGACGGCGCGCATTGAGGTTACGCGTCAGCCAGGGCTGGTAAGCGCACAAGACTCCGTGGATTATTGCCACTGGATATGCGATGGGCCGAGTTGCGAACATGCATCAGACACCACAATAAATCATATTTAGTCTAATCACGGCATACGCCGGGAATAAGCTATCGCGTTCTCAAACAACGGTACCTTAGCAAAAAGACCGCCGTTTACAGTAATGATGATGAGCGCGAGCGCTTTGAATATTAGTCCACAAACCAGTTTGACACAGGACAAGAATAATTCAGCGGCATGCCAATGCCAGTCATGGGAATGGCTCAATAAAATTCGAGTAAGTCGCCGCATTTCGAGAAAGCGCCAGGCTAGACAAGAAGGGGGCCACCCTTATATATCTATGTCCTAAGTCACGTGTGTAACCTCAGAGGTTACACATAATAATAGTGCATATTATACAAAGACACAAAGGCAAGTACGAGGTTTTGGAAATCGTGAAATGCACATGGGCGCAAAACAGGACAGCAGTTTACCTCCCCTAATCAAGGTATGTTGAGTAATTTTGCATATTCCAATCGGCTCATATAAGACTGAATCTTTATTGTGGACTGTAGTGATACGCACGGTCAGGTCGTGACCTGTTTTGACCCTGACCTGACCCCGACCTGACCCATTTTGACCTGACCCAGTATGCTAGGTCAGGCCAGGTCAAATTTGGGTCAGGTCATGGGTCAGCCTTCTCCCAAATTTTCCTGACCCACTTTGACCCGACCTGACCTTGACCTGACCTGTAACCTATATGTAAATAATGTTATTAAAATACACTTATTTATAATAGACAAATATAATATATTAAGGTACATTTGATATAATATCAGAGGATTGTAACTGAAAATCAAGCTAATAGCAGAAATATACTTTCCTTACAATTAGAGATCTATATTTTAAGGAACTTCTATTAGACTTCAAGTATATATTCTGTCTGAATGACATGAACACATTTAAGTATAAGTTGATGGCAGATGCCAGAATAGAGGTCTGGGACGAAATCATGGATTGGCTTTTATCAGAAGCAGAACAAAGTATCCTATTTGTACAGTGTAGTAGGGTCCAGAAAGAGTACAGTCATGACAACCATTGTAGAGTACTGTTGTGAGATACTATACCTTAGTACATACTAGTTTTCAATTGAGTAGATGATGCTGACTCTGCTGAGGATCAGCTCACCTCTATCTTCCAGAAGATAGTATTCCAGCTGGCCTTGTTCGATTCGTCTATTGCAAAGTACATTAAGGCTGCTATTCAGAGAAGTGATTGTATTGTAGAGGCTGTTGCTGAGGTGCAGTTCAAGAGGCTCATCAATACAGCATTATCATCAAATGCGAATAAGTCTGTACACGAACTCGCGTTAGATTCAGACTCGGATAATAGTCGACGAGATGTTCTGCAATACATTGATCACAAGATGAAAGTCAGCCTCGAGGACTTAGGACTCGAGATGCTGAATGAATGGGGCACGTATAGGAAACACCTTATGATGCATCTCAGGGACTCTTCATTTAGGTTTCAACAGCAATCAAGCTAGTCAAGGACAATCCCGGCCTATCTAATACATATGACTTCTGGAGTTGGATCAGAATGCTTTCCTTTACATATCATACACTTCTCTCAAATATATGGTCTCATTCTTTTGAGCAATGCACCACTATCAGACACTATGATTTAACATAATCCTAGGGTTATCGAGCCATAACTCATCATGCCTAATTCTTTCAAGCTGCAGAGTGTAGCTGGATATTACCAAACAATCCTTGCACAGTATAGGAGTGTATCCTCATGGCACTGGCATTTTGCTTGAGGCACTAAAAGAGCAGATTGCTGTAGTCTGTTTGAGATTGTTCTATCTGCGAACCAAACATCATCCTTGCTGTGTGTGCAGCTGATGTAGATCTTGCAAACTCGTAGCTCTCCATACTAGTTCAAAGTCTAACTATTTGAGGATACAAGCAATTGGAGTTGTTATGAAGATAGCCTTAGTATCTCTAGAACAGGGTGTAGACTGCTACATTCTGTTCCCCCTTATTTCTTGTAACCCTTACACAATTTCCTGTAATGTAAAGTACAAGAGAAAACTACATTCTCTAGCGATATGTGTACAGATAATAGATTGGTTTGTGTTGGACTATTATTTCTTTTTTCCTAGCCTTTTGCTCGACGTCCAAACTACCTACCACTACTACTACAAGTCAATATCTTACTATGGCTCACTCTGAAAACACTCTTGGTTGTGCTCTTGATGAGAATAACCAGCTGAAGGATGCTAGTAAAATAGTATTCTTTAATGACCCAGATGACGAGATTCCAATTTCTGGGCCAGGTTCACATAATCAAGAGTCTGGTTTGCTAGCTCCTACCCAACGACCTGTACGCAATGTCAATCAAGCCAAGCTACATCATGCTATTCGCTTCCAGCATGATGAAGACAGTGATTTTGGTGAAGGGAACGATTCAAATGAAGAAACTAATCATCCACCTGTTCTGGGCTGTAAACGACCTGCAAAACCACGTACTACCCGTCCTGTAAAGAAGCATAAGGTGCTTGTCAAGTCATCTGGTAGCTCTACACTCACAGAGCGGAAGGGGAAGGGGAATGCCGATGTAGGAGAGAGTGTTGCTAGGCAGTTTTTGAAGGATGTGAGCAGAAGCAAAGGTATGTTAATCTAGTCTAAGTAGAGAGAAAGCAGAGTCGACTGTCTGGCCAAAGACAGTGAGAATGGTTACTCACTACCCAGTCTGCTTGAGAGCTTCCATTATCTTTGTTTGGAAGACATGGTCAACAGATTCAACTGACATAGTTGTCCTTGACTGTTATATTGCAAACACATCTATTACTTGTACTGTGTATTCGATCAACAATCATGACTAATTTTACATGTTATAGATATGCCTCAAGATATTCAGGAGATCAAGGACAGTTCCTCTGAGGCAGAACCATCTATTTTAGCTGGAAGGCAGGGTATAGAGGACATTGCCCCTCTTTATGAGTTCTTCTCTACAAATGATGGTAAAAAGCAAGTAAGATGTCTTGTTTGCAGGTGAGATACTCTAAATTATTGTACTTAATGAACATACTAAATACAAGAATACATAAGTGAGCTCAAGAACGAAGCCCTAGCAAGATATCCAAAGTTGGAACCTCTTTTTAAGGGAAAGTCAAATACCACCACTTTGTGTTGTCATATTGCTCGAAGAAAAGAAGACAACTACTGGCACTTCAGAAAATATGAAGAAACCTGCAAGAATAATAGTCTTCTTGATTCTCAAGTGTACCTCAATAACTTGAAGTATACTTGTCCTGAAGATCTTCAGAAATCTAAGGAGATTGAAGATTCAGGCAAAAAGTATGTATTCTAAAGTATATATTGTTCTTTTTAATCTAAGTACTATATTCTAGACAGTCCAAATTGACAGGTTTTATGGTACCTAGTACTGATACTATCTGGACTAAGGATGGACTTTCTGAGAGGATTGAAAATTTTATTGTTGATGCAAATGTTGTAAGTATTATACTAATTTGTATTCCTTTATTCTTTTTTCTTACAAAACTTATGTTTTAGGCTCCAAATACTATCAAGCACAAGTCCTTTCATGATATGCTTGCCTACCAGCAAGGTTCGAAGCATAAG